CTGTGTTGTTAAAGCAGCTCCAGGAAACCAACACAGTTTTACAAGTCCTCTAAACTTCTGGCTCCAACTTCAGGACTCACTTTCCCATTACCACTTTACCTTAGATTTAAAGCTGAACTGCTTTCTCTGGTTTTAGTTTTTATCTCTTAACTATAATTAATGATCATCCCCCAAGATTTTATGAGACAGGTACACTAGAGCCAGCCCATACCAGTTTATAGCAACCAATTGGAATTTTGTAAGCCAATTGCTAAACACAGCCATAATTTTAAAAATTGCATTGCCTAAGCTTTAAATTAGGTGAATTATACTAAATCAACAGTAATGAATATCAAAACTCATCACTTCCTAATTATTTGACTACATTTTACTACAATCTGTGCTCTTGACACTACTTATGCCAATTTATCTGTTTGGTGGAAACAGTAGGGAAAAAAATATACTACTGCCCATTTTTTCCAAATCACACTGGAAGCTTAAAATCAGCTACGGTGGAAATATTTACACCATGAAAACTGTCAAAAGCTACAAGTCAGCAATTTCTATATTTTCAAACAGTTAATTGTAAACATTTACCAGCACTCCACTGAAACAACCTTTAAGTCCATTCAAACTGGGATGGCTACAGAAGAAAAGAGCAAGTTAGGTTTATTAAAGATATCTATTTTCTGGGCCCTGCTATACACCATTCAAATTCAGAGTTTAGGACATCAAGTAAAAGGAAATAAAAGACTCTTACAAACAATGAAGGCAGAGAGATTTGACAGGGATTATGAAGAGGGGATAAGACAGACTTAAATGCTGGTGACCTACTTTTAGTATTGTCTAGTGAACCTCTCAGGAAAGTGTTTAGCTCTGGTAATAAATATTAATTAGATCCCAATCAGAGTACTATTTAAAGGATCTGTGCTTCTTAGGAGGAGATATTTCAGAAATTGATGGATATATAGAGCATACACATGTATAAGTTGTTCAAGTTGGTAACAAACCAGATGATTTTACTTAGTAAAACAGACCCAACTCAGCTACAAAATTATACACAAATTGAATGACAATAAACAGGCAGGGGAAAATCTTTGCAGCTTTAGCAGATATGGAATGCCACTATGTATGAATAAGATTAAGTTTTGCTATGACACCTTCCTTGTTAAACACATCATCAGCTGAATAACAACAAAAAAGAACACTACCTCTACACATTTAAAACAAAGATTGAAAGAACACCACACCCACTAAATATAAAAGATACTTCCTAAAATTATTAAAGGTAACCTGAGGCTGTTAACTGCTTGTTATTCCTCTGAACTGTGGGGAGTGGAATCTCAGGTTAGAGACTTTGTCCTAATCCTTGAACTCTGTGCCAGCACAGCTGGGAAAGCCGAAAACTTCCAATCAGAGACACAGAAAAGGTAGAAGACCTGTTGGTTGTTTGTTTTTGCCTTTCACCACAAGGCCAGCAGCAGATTAAAGAGGGACATTACTCACAACATACACAGTCTTAGAGAGTGTACTTTTGCTCTAAACACTGTCTCATACCAGGAAGTGTTCTAAGGGTGGAATGTGTGAAGCTTACATCACATCACTCTGTTTTTGTGACTGAGGCATTCTTTTAAAACTTGTCATCTGAGTCCAACAATGTTCCCACTTCATTAGCTACTGGATATTTTAAAATGATAATAAATAAGAGGCTCTCTTTCTTTCTCTGTGAACACAATCCAACTGGGGAAGAAACACAGTCTCTTAAAGTTCCCCATAGTTTAATGACCATTCTTAGATTCCTAGCTAGTCGCTCAGTGTCTGACTCTTTGCAACTCCATGAATGGTAGCCTAACAGGCTCCTCTGTCCATGAAATTCTTTAGGCCAGAATACCAAGTGTTTCACCATTCCCTTCTCCAGGAGATCTTCCCTACCCAGGGAAGGATCAAACTCAGGTCTCTTGCGTTGCAGGTGGATTCTTTACCATCTGAACCACCAGGGAAGTCCTAGATTCCTTAGGCATTTAAACGGATAAAGGGCAAATACAGCTCAAATATAATGCAGTCAGATAAAGGATGCATTTAATAAAGTAATCTGGTTTTAGAAAATTATATTACAAATACAAATAATACAGTAACCCTAACTTTAACTTTTAGGATTTCACTTTTCAATATATTAGGCTTGGGGAAACAGCCTGAATTTAGGTTGTTGCTGGAAGATGCAATGAATTATGGAAATAAGAGGTGATTGGAGATGGATGAGAAAAGCAGAAGTAGGAAGGCAACACTGCTAATACTGAGGGCTTAGCAAAATACAGGAAAAAAAAATTTCTAAGAGTTTTTCTCTATTTTTTTTCTCTTTACTCCCCTGTGCCCTCTTCTTGTTGATGACCTTACTTACTTCTCAGCCCGCATCTTAGACCCAGTACTGCAGTTGTTATCAACTAATCCCCCAGATCAATGTGTGATATAGGGCTCACAGCAATTAGTTAAAGCGCTCACATATTTTTTTTTCATCATAGAAAAATCTTGAAAACAAAATATTCTCAAGACCCAAAAGTAAAAAAGACCATTATTTTTGAATATTTTTGGTAAGGAATGTCCTCAGATCAAACCAAATAAAGCCATAGTGATAAGGTTCATACAATCTATTAGAGCCTGCTAAGACTACTGTGATTCTAACATGTTCTGAAAATGATCATTTTGGCATTCAAAAATCTCTATTTTAAAGTAAAATGTCATAAAGCATTAAGTTGAGAAATTTTAAAGGTATAACATAACTAAACTTTTCCTAAAACATTTATGTTTGTTTTATATTGCACTGGCACAAAGTATTAATTTACATATAGATCACATTTTTACTTTTGGAGATGCTTTCTCTGCAGAAATCTAAAACAGAAAAAAAAAAATTTTCTATTTTTTAATTACCTTTAGTATCAAACAAACATTTTACTGTCTGTGACTCACAGCAAAGAGGTTTTCCCCTTTTGTACAGTTGCATCGATGATAATTTAAAAATAAATTATTTTTATGGACCAAGTTCAAGTTAGATACTGTGTTTGTATGCTACTTTTCTCAACCAGCCCTATGCTGAACTTTGTAAGGGCTTTATGACCAAAAAAAAAATTATTAAAAAAGAAAAAAACCTCTTCATTATAATTCCTACCCAATGAGCTTGTGGTTTTCCAAATTTAGGACAAAGCATGAAGTTTTATCAGTGAGTTGAGATTTAGTTTTGTTCCCCTTTGATTGGGTCACTTAATTTACAGCTTTTTTTTTGTTTGTTTGTTTCATTTCTGTTTAAGAGAAGAAATAACCTATAATTTCTGACATGCTGACAAGAGAACTTTAGCAACTTTCTCCCCGATATGCAATATTTCACTCAGAAGGCCTATTTTCTATCCTTAGGCTTCCTGGATGTGGCTCTGCTAAAAACATACTCTAAGATGTACCTGCCCATGTTCTCATAAGTGTAAAACCTAAGTGATGTCTCTGGGAAAGACCAAAAACACAAGTACTTATTTGTCTCAGAAAGAGAGGGGGTCCCTATTTTGAAAAATCCTAATGGAATCCCAAATATTAGTTTGGTAGACTGAAAAATAGTACCCTCTGCTTGAAGATTCTTAACACAAATTCAATGTTAAATCAAAAATTATAATCCACAGAATTCATAATAACTTATTTGGTAGAAGTGTCTCAGATCCATAGACAGCATGCTTTGGGTTTCTTTTAAATAACTGAAAAAAAAAATAAGATAAATTACCAAAGACAATTTTTTACTAGTTATACTCAATATTCTTCCTCCATAATTAAGGTAAAAGTATCTCAGCAACTTTCCCCTTTTAAAATCCACCACTCAATAATCATATAGATTATTCTGGCTATTTAATTTTTCACATCTGCTTGTGCTACCATAGTGTAACATTTGATAAGATAATTAACTGGTTGCACACTCAATGAACTTCTAGTGGGATTATTACACCTTACATTAGTACAAAATTATTAGGAAAGGCTTCTGAAGCAAACTTTTTGCCATATAGGAAGATGAGGGATGGGGAATAATACTACAGTTGAAGACATTTTTCTGCCTCTAATATTTGTTACCAGTTCTAGAAGTTATAATTACCCGGAAATTTTGAAAAACTGAACCGAAAGTCTAATCAAAGTATAAGTGCTTTCAACTAAGACAAGACTTTGAAACTACAGGGAGCAACAGGGGTGGGAAATTTTCTGTTGCTCTTCTTGCCTGTGCTTTACGGTACAAGGGTTGGCCCTGGTTTGGTCCACCTGCCAAGCAGAGTTTAAAGTTTCCGAGGCTTGCAGGAACACAATGACTTGAATCTAACAGCCTAAATGGGAAGATGGGAATTTCTGCAGCATTGAGGAAGCCGTTAAACTCCTGTTAAGCAAACTTTTTTTTTTTTTTTTTAATGTGTCTGTGCACACGGACACAGACCTCTCTCACGGACCAGAAATTATTTCTGATAATCCAGGATATACCAAAAACTTGAAGACATATGGCTGGGAAATGAAACAACCCTGGAGTGTGGCCACATCATTATTTTGTGTCGCATGGTACCAGATGGGCAGTTGGTGAATAGCGCTGGGATGTGAATGGACAGTTTTATAACGTGAATTTTTTCCCCCGTAGAGCTGAAACAGACATTTCCCTCTCTTGTCTTTTGGTCTCTAGCACTCGGAATTTCCCCCTCTCTGCAATATCAATTAACTCAACTTTGCAGTGGGGTGGCCAAAAAGGAAGAGGATGAAGAGGGCTTTATAATCTTATAAGTGCTGGGTGAGTCACAGCGCCCCGGGAACTGCGGCTGCGACCCGCCGCGTCCTGTGCGGATTTCAGGACTTACACCGCGCGCAGGCGGTTATGGAGTGGACAGTGCATTTGAACCGCGGAGGATAGACACCCGAGCTTGGGAGGGGTGTGCCGATCTCCAGGCAGCCTTGGAGGCCGCTGCTGACTCTCGCCGGTAGCGTTTGGTTACCATTTTCATCGTTCTTGAAAAGTCATGGAAGACGGCCCGCTGCCCGACCTCAGAGACATCGAGCTGAAGCTGGGACGCAAAGTGCCCGAGAGCCTACTGCGCTCGCTCCGTGGGGAGGAGCCGGTTCCCCCGGAGAGGGACCGAGACCCCGGAGGGGGGAGCGGGGGCGGCGGCAGCGGTTGCAGCAGCAGCAGTAGCTGCTGCAGTTTCCCACTCTCCTTGTCGTCGTCCTCTTCGTCCTCCCCAACCTCTGGCTCCCCACAGCCCAGCCACTCCAGTAGCACCCTGGAGAGGCTGGAAACCAAGCTTCACCTCCTCAGGCAAGAGATGGTGAGTGTGGTGCGCCCGGCGGTGGGAGTGGGAACCCAGGCAGCAAGAACCGGGAGGTGGGGCAGGGGAGACAGAGCGACAGGGGCGGCCGAGCCGAGAGCTGGGTTCATGGGAAACACGGGTGAGAGGGGCGCGCAGCGGGTGCGCATATGGATGTGGCTGCAGGAAGCCTGTTTACGGGCGACTTGGCTCGGTCGCTGCCCTCCCTGCTCTTCGTACTTTCTGAAGCCTACTCGCTGCTACCGGCTCTGACCATTCAGCTGCCGGTCCACAGCCTCCCAGGCATAAACCCGCCCGAGGGTCTGCAGTTACTGCACCCATATGGGGCCTGCTGTCTGCCGTTCACACTTTCGTTTCCAAACGTGGGTCGGTCCGTTGAGCTTAATGCAAAAACACTTCTTGGTTTGCCGAAAGGTGGCGCGGCGGGGTCCCTGCAGCCCTTGTTCTAGACTCACTCCTCTTACACCACTGCTGCTCCCGCCCTTTGGTGCAACCCCCGAGCCACCGTGGAGCTGATTCCCCACTGCTGGTTCTGAAAACAATGGCTCAGTCATCCTCGATGTCCTTATGAATAGCTTGTTTCACGGTTAATCCGAAAGAGCAGGTGATCCCCAGGCCCAGGGATTTGCTAATACCCACTTCCTACCCTTCCCCCTCAGTCCTCAATCTGCAATTGTTTTCTGTGCTGTTTGCAAACGTTAGCCTAAGAATAGGACAATGGGGCTAGCGAGGGTCCCGAATACTTGTTATTCCGGATGTACTTAGAGACACTTTATTTACTTGCCTTGAACTCGGACAAATTACTTAACCTCTCTGGACCTCGGGTTAATTTTTACAGTGAACTGGTTGGAGGAAATGATTCCTTCCTAAATCCTTTTAAAGATGACCACACAACAAAACCGCATTTCCCACCAGCTTGGAAAGGAGGAAAGTAACAACCGGAGCCTCAGCCACTTCTGCATAAGTGATCCTATCTATAGGGGCTTTGCATGAAAAAGAAGTAACCGGTAGTGTTAACCCTAGCTCCTCTCTTTTTGCAGCTGGAACACTGGGAGGGAATACATTCCACAGCATAAAGTAATCTTGGCAAACATGTTAGCACAAAAAGCCATTCTTCAGAGATCATGTCCCATGTTCAGAATTTTTACCGCACTATCAACACAAGGGCTCCAAAAACCTCTCTCAAGATCTCTTAAACTGGTCTACTTAAGAACTTTACTTTTTATGCCTCAAGTATCCATTTTCTTCCCAACTGGAATGCACCAGATGTTGAAAGCAAACATGTAGAGATTCATACATACATACTTCTATGTATGCATGTATATATATGTAATGCAAAGATATCATTACTCTATTCCTATTACTATATTTTACTAAATATATACACACACCACAGGTTATACATATTACTCAATGAGTATTCAGTAAGTGCATTTACTATATCTGGTAATTAACCAGGTGCTCAAAATATACAACATAAAAGTTCAAGGAGCCTATTTGCTGCTGCTGTTGCTAAGTCGCTTCAGTCGTGTCCAACTCTGCGACCCCATAGATGGCAGCCCACTGGGCTTCCCCATCCCTGGGATTCTCCAGGCAAGAACATTGGAGTGGGTTGCCATTTAGGGCTCTCAAATCTCTTGCACTACCATTTATTATTTATATTAACAGTATATCAAGCCAAGTGTACTGAAGAATTTTGTAAGATTTTTAGAAAATTGTTATTTTTCAATGAAAGGTATGTTCTAGCCTTGTTTTTCTCCATGAAAATGTCACAGAATTAATAAAAATCTGTTTTCCCAAGCCAGGTCTTGCTATATAACTATGTTATATAAATAAATAAATTTAAAAATAACAAACAGAAACAACAACAGCAGGGGCAGATTATTAAATTGACTATATTTTCTACGCAGCATAGTTATCTTCGGATCTGGGAGAATTTATGCCAGAGCAGATGTTTTTGTCTTCAACTTTGTCCTCTAATAAAGGTCTCCACTGAGCAAATGATAACACTGCCACTGGCCATGGGAGTTTAGAGGGAAGGAATCAAAAACAGGTATATTCCCCTGCCAATGAGACAATTTCCCCCCATTTTATGTAACTCTTGTGGGTGCTAAAACCTCCAGCTTCAGCATAATTGCAAAGCAACCTATCTGTTTTTATGTAGACTTGGCAGTTTTGTTATAAATGTGGAACAGATGTAGTTGTACAGTCCTTTCTATCTCCTTGCATCCTCCTGGAGAGAAGTTGGGGCGAGGCCTCTGTGAGTTGTATGTTCTTTTCTGCCCTCTCCTGTGAGCACTGAGTCAGCCTGTTTGGACTTATGCCTGACCCACATTTTATGCTCATTATTTTGTGTTCACAGATTTTTCTTCTGGATGATCTGGAATTATCAGGCTTGGGTCCTGCCCTCAGAACTCCTTCCTATGAAACACCTTAGCCTTGTACAAGACTCTGGACACTTGCAGGAATTAAGACTTCCTTCTTTTCCTATTAAAATGTGTGTGCTAACCATTGACAAAAGGCACCATAGACTTTTGTAAGATAGAATCTCAACACTTGAAATTCTTTACACGCACCTGGTTTTCTCATTGTCTCTCTCTCTCATCTCCTTTTATGGTTTTGTGAATCATTACCTTAACTCTTATCTGTAAATATCACAATCAAAGCTCTTAGAGGTCTGTGAGACTCAGGTGTAAAGAAAGGAAGATGAAAGAGATTGAAGTGGGGAGGAGCTGTTTCTGTAGCCAAACTTCTTAACCTTGAAACTCTTGTTAACAACATGAATAGTGCATGTTCATGTGGGAAGAAAGGGTGTGGGAAGGAAAATATTGGAAAAGAAAATTTTCAGGCATATATTTGATCGCTGCTGTTTTTGTTTTAGTCGCTAAGTCATGTCTGACTCTTCTTCTGTGGCCCCATAGACTGTAGCCCACCAGGTTCCTCTGTCCATGGGATCTCCTAGGCAAGAATACTAGAGCGGGTTGCCATTTCCTTCTCCAGGGGATCTTCCCGATGCAGGGATGGAACCCATGACTCTTGCATTGGCAGGTGGATTCTTTACCACTGAGCCACCAGGGAAGCCCATGTATTTGATACAGTAGGCCAATTCAAAGTTACCATCAGGATATTTTTGAGAGGGAGCACATTTTCCCAATGGGTAAAATATTTTTCAATTTAGAGATAAGGAAATTTGACAATGCAATAAGCAAATTCAGGGATATATAGGACATTTATAACAAAATTGGAAATAGATGTCTGATGTCTTGTGCAAAGTCAGCCCAGTAATATTTGTTCACTGCTCTTCAATTCACAGTGTTTTACTGTCTGTCATATTATTTGAGCCTCAGGTCATAACTGAGAAGGAAGTATCTTTACATTTTGGGAATGAGATCATTGTGGCTTAGAGGTGGTTGAGAAAACAGGCCAGGGTCACACAGCTAATTAGTAAACAGAATCACAATTTGAACGTGTATCATCTGACTCCATGTACTATGCTTTTCCCCCATTCTAGTCTGCATCCCAATAATTTCTCTTCAAATTGCAGAATAATTTTTATAAATCTGTGATAAGTCACAACCCCTACAGTTCTTAAAGGACCAACAAAAAGAAGTCATGATGTCATGTCACGGGTAGTTTCAGATATTGGTTCATTCAATAACCAACAAATATTTATTAACTGCCAACAATGTACCAGGCCTGCCTTGAGACATTGGGGATTTAGTACAAAATGCTTACTTTAAAAAGTCAGTCTTTGGAGGCCCTGTCCTATATTTGGACTTTTCATTCTACTACCTATGCAGACTCCACTTGCAAAGGTTTGTTGAGAATAAGACTTTAAATATTGCTTATCAAATACTGTTCTAAGTTTTAGAATGTCACATAATATCTGAAATATTTTTCTAATAAATGTAAATAATCTCTGTCAAAATCTGTGTTTACCAGTTAGTAGTAAATTTTATACTGCAGTTTTCTTTAACAAGATGTTCCAGGGATTTTAGTGTTATCTCAATAACATCTGTACCATACCTCTAGTTTAAGAGTGAACATTATGTGTGTTGATTTACTCTGGAAAAATTTTGAAATGTATAAGATTACAATGGTAATCACTCAAGAATCAGACTCTGGAGTTAGAAGGGATCTAATAGACCCATTCAAGTTTGCTTTCCTAGATAACTACTGTTCAGAACAACAAAGTATGCTGAATGAAGTATATACTACTTATGCCACATTCCAGATTTTTGGAATTTTAGTCAATTCTCTGTCATGCTGGAATGGTTAATGTTGTGCCATTAAGAATGACTAATCTGAAAATATTGTTTCCTCATCCCATATTTAAGCAACTACATATCTGCAACTACTTTTGCAGCTGTGTAATAGTCAGGGATAAACAATTTCAAGTTAGTTATTTGTCTTACTATTAAAGCATTCAAATATCCCACCTAATTCTTCAACTTTTGCTTTAATAAAGTTTTCTAGATAATACCAAGGGCTAGACAAAAACATACATAAATACAAGGCACATAATGATACTAGAACATAAATTGAAAATTTTTGAAAAGGATAGAATTGTATTGGTTTTTATCAATACTTTCTCTTATCTATCTTTTCCATGCCCCTTCTCATAACAAATGGTTGGTCTATTTTGTAATAAAAACTAAAGTTACTTTATATTTCCTCAAAAAGTGATCATAATTTCATTAAATTAATTTCACAATTGCTTTGGATATGTTTCAAATTAGGCTAGGAGATTTCTATCATTTGTTCCATAATACTGTTTCAGTAGTATTTTTACTGTTTTATCACGTAGTTGTGTTTTTTTTTAATTGGATAAAACTTTATGTAAAACTCTTGGGTATATACTTGAGAAGTCATAACATGGAAGGCATTTTCCTTGATGAGTTCACAAGACAGCTGAAAAGATAAAACAGGGATATAATTTTGCCAGGGAAAGATTACAAACCAATATGTCAGCATGCCATAGTGGAAATCAGACATAGCTG